CAGGTTTCAAGCGCGGCACGCTAACAGCACCGCCACCGCTCCCCACAGACACACGTGTGTGCACACACATACATACACACGTACACACATTCTCACAGACGGATTGCATGTGTCTTCTGACATGGCTTGCGTGCGTCTACTTTATTTATTAAATTCTAAAATTTCAACTATTTAAAGTTTGCGATGGGCCGGCCAAAAACATTCCCTTCAACGTAACGTGCGTGCGTACACGCAGACTTACACACACACACACACACGCAGACACGCTCACTTGAGTAACACTTGTAACACACGCACGCACGCACACAAGCACAAAGCTCCCCCCGCCCCCCGTTCGGCCTTTTGACCGAAGTGGCTGGGTATTGTTAGTGAGCACCTATTAAAACGTTGCAGTGTGACCAGCGATGCCGCCAGCTGCCTTTGTCTCCCCCATTGCCGCTGTTAAACACAACACCACTGCACCCGGTAACAACTGTAGGTTGTGTCACCCGAGGAGAGTTCCGGGCAAGGTTAAGAAACGGAATGGTCACCGGTGGGTCGTGACCAAGGGGAAACCACCACAGAGCAACCTAGCAACACATGTACACAGACAAAGATCCCCCGTATAGCCTTAACATACTATTGGCGCAAGTGCTGTTAGCGAGTAGCACCTATGAAGGCCGGCACTGCACACGAGGGGGTGGGTGGCCAACACCACGCTCGACCGCCTTTGTCTCCCCAGTGGTGATTTTTGCACACTGCACCAAGTACTCATCTTAAGCTGAGTCGATCTAGGGGAGGCCCGTAATCGGTTCAGATAATCGTCACTGGTGTTGGCCGTGAGCGGGAATCGAACTTGGTTCGTCAGGTTCATAACGCAGCGCGCTAATCGCTGCACGACCGCTCCCCATAACACATGTACACGCACATGCACACGAAATGGACTTTGCTACACATATGCATGTATCCACACTGTTCACCTATGTATGTATATGTATGCATCTACAGACTTTATACTGATGTGGCACATGAGTGGGCAGCATGGCCAGTGCCATGCCCGGCAGCCTTTGTCTCCCCAGTACTGATAATAACACACACCGCATGGGGTACTCGACCTCGGTGAGGCCAGGACTGGTTCTGATGTCGCCACTGATGTTTGCCGTGGCCGGGAATCGAACTTGACTTTGCTGGGTTCGTAGCTCATTCCATTAACTTAGCCCGGTGCGTTAACCGCAACACCTCCGCTCCCCACACACACTGATGCACACGTGCGCAAAGCACACGCATGTAGATGGCACATACCCATGCGCACACCTTGAGGTTAACGGAATGCTCACGCCTGCCTAACGCATTCGTGCGTAGTTTTATGAATCATGTCGCAGCATGGTGTCTTATCTTATTTTACCCATGAATGCTTGTTTTCAAGTTTCAAGTTGAATTTTTTACATTTTTAAAACAATTTCTTCTTGGCTGCGGGGATGTCACGCGAGTGCGCGCGCACGCACACAGATAACGCAGGTACGCAGCTACAGGTGAATTTACTCACTGACACACACGGCGACAAAACATCCGTGCTGCTGGTGAGCGTCCATTAAGGCGAGGGGGTTCAGAGGTCAGAGCAAGTGGCTCGCAATTGGTAGGTTGTGATTTGAAATGTTTGTTGGTGGGTGGTTGACTCAGCCCATCACACCCCCCCCCCTCCCAGGTCCGATAAAATGAGTACCACTTTTTGGGGACGTCCACAGTGCAAGTTCTATGGAAATGATGTACTTATGCCATTTGTTCTTTTTTTCTGATTCTGGATAGATTCGCCCCTGCCGTAGGAACGAGGAATTCCCACCACTGACTTATTTGACTTTCAACTTTTGTTTAGGCGTGAACCGTATTGGATAGGGTGTTTTTTTTCTAGCACCATGTCCAGTCGCCTTTGTGTCCCCAGCACTGATGTTTACACACCACACCAGCTACTCGTTAAAGGCTGAGTCGACCTAGGGGAGGCCCAGCTGGACCGCTTCAGATAATCGTCACCCATGTTGGCCGCGAGCTCGGATTAATCTTGTCACCGGGGTTCATCGTGCAGTGCGCCAACCGCTGAACCACCACTCCCCACACAAACAGGTACACACACGCACAGTACACACGCATCGGGTACGCTCGCCGTTACATGCTTGTGAATGCCGACGCGCACGCACGTAAAGTTTTCATGGAATTTGTCGGCGGTAAAGAAAAAAAAAGTTTCCCAAATAAAAGACAATCGGGTGAAATTGAATTAAAGTTGAAACGCAGCTCCACATAAAGGGCGGCATGTGGAACACGCGCGCGGGTGTGTGCGTAAGTATGCGTGCGTGCGTGCGAGAGAGAGAGGGAGCGAATGCCATGGTGACCGCCTGGCCCACAGACGCTTACACCGGGCCATGGCTCGCACTTCAAACTCACGCAACGACTCGCACCAAGTGCACCCGCCGACTCGCTCACCGTCCTTGGGATCACATCCCATGCTCACGATGTAACACCGACGCTTGGCTCATGCACTCACAAATTGCTAACACGTGCCTTTGACTGACACGTGCTCATCGTCACATCACTTGCGCCTTGCCCTGACTGGCGTATTCACGAACGCCTTGCACCGGCAGGAGGTTGAAAACCGATTCATTAGTGAGGGCCGATAAGGACCTGGAGTTAACTTTGCCACATCTGATTCGGTGATAAAGCGAAAAGTGATTCGGGGGCGGCCTATGTTTCCAGATTTCTCCAGGTTGAAAATTATTTCCCTCTAGAACCGGTTTCGTGCGGCTAATGTGACTACGGTGACATGTAAGTATAATTTGCGAGCCGTTTTTAAAATGGTAGGGGCTCATGACGATTAATTTATGTTTTCTTTTTTATTGTACCCGTGTCACCAAAATAAAAAAGGGGCAATGTCGTTTTGTCATGTGTCTGAATGGGTTTGGTTTTAACCTCCCGGGTAAATCGAGGAGAATGACTCGCATGTGGTCGTGGACCGTGCGCAGTGAAGTGGTCGTAGGCCCTGTATGACTCCTGCTCACGCCGTTCAAAATGTCACGATCATTGATGCTTTTCGCAGTGCTAAGAAAATAAAAAAAAGTTTACACCTGCTGGACCAGATGGAATAACTGTGGACATCATCAAAGAAGCGGGGACCGGCTGTTGGAACCAAATTAGCGCGACCTATTTACTAAACGCTTGCATAAAAATGAAATGCCTCAATCAAGGAACGATGTCTCAATCATTAGCTTCGCATTTGTGTCGAATAATGGTGTAATTATTAATTATTGCACACATACCAAACTACAGACGTATGTATGTTGAACTTCGAAGTATGAATGAATGTATATACACTGCACGTACGTATATACAATATGTGAGGAGTGAGTGTGGGGCACTTGGGAATGTGTTGGATTCGTTGTAGCACCGCTCTGATTAATGCGTTGAGGGAGGAGGAAGAGCGCGAGAGTGCGCGCGTCTCTTCCCCCAAAACCACTCCTCGCCGCGCTCCCTCTAGGTCTTTAGAGTCCTGGATGGCGGAATCGCGGTGGAGACGGCTCGCAATCAAAATGTTTCTGCTTTCAAATCCAGCTCCGGGAGAAATCTGAGGCCATAATTTCACGAGAGTCGAGGAAATTGGGATTGCATTTTTTTTTAGACATACCGGTAGGGGGTCTCCCCCCCTCCACCTCTCCCCTGCAGTTGGACTCACCACACCATAGGAATTGTGGGATTTATCACCACTTCGTAATTTACGAACTGCTCGCCTGAGCGTGGAGAGGCAACAAGCCCAATTCACGCGCTGTTGACGAAACTTTAATCTTTTGTCCGATTTTTTTTGTTGCCAAAAATGCGTCCCACGTTTTCCCCGTCACCAAGGGCGCAGCAAATCGCCAGCACAACGTATTTGCGACGTTTCCCCCTTGTCATCATCATCGGCCATGTTCTAGCCGCTGATGGATGAAGACCTTCCCAAGCCGTCTCTCATGATCTAGCCCAAACAGACTGTTGGGGCAAGCAAGTGCTGTTAGCGAGCACCTATGAAGGCCGGAAACAGCACACCAAGGGGGTGGGTGGCCAGCACCACAACCAGCCGCATTTGTCTCCCCAGTGGCGATGTTTTCACATCACACCAGGTACTCATTTGAGGCTGAGTCGACCTAGTGGAGACCCGGGATCGGTTTAAATAATTGTCACTGGTGTTGGCCGCGAGCGGGAATCGAACTTGCGTCGCCGGGTTCATAGCACGGTGCGCTAACCGCTGCACCACCGCTCCCCACCATGCACACAGTCCACATTGGCACCTGTACACGAGCTGATCTCGTCCCTTCCACTCTGACTGCACCACCTCTTGGGGCACGTTCCTTCCTTTGGCTGCCATTCCATCGTTCGTCTCGACCTCCGGCCATCGTCCCGTCGAGCGAGGTGCCCCCTGCCCAAGTCCACCCACTTAGTTTTCTTAGCGAGTCCGTGTGAGCCCTCTAACTTGCGTATGTTCTTTCATCCAAGCGTTCCTGATCCTGCATCTCGGCATAATTTCAAGCGGTGCGCTTCTCCGTGCTTCTTGGCACACTTTTCAATCTTTTTTCATTTGCTTTGTCATCTAACCGTGTTTGTGACCGTGACCATGTTTCTTTTTTATTTGACCAGGTAAGGCCCATGAGCTATATGGCTCATTTTCAGAAGCGCCCTGGCAACCAATGATAGCTCAACGAAGTGGCTTGTCACGTGGACATTTTTTGCAACCAAATATTCTAAACTCATGTTGATTCTAAATGTGGAGGCCAAAACCCAGAGGACCCGGAGAAAAATCCACGTGACCACTGGGAGAACATGCAAACTCTAAATATACAGGCGTCGGGGTCGGGATCGAACCCACGGAGCTCCTGTATACCAGGCGAGGGAGTTAACATCTCGCCACCCTGGCTACCCCCATTGTGCTTGTGGTTGCCCCATTGTGATTGTGGTTATGTGTTGATGGTTCCTGTAGCTAACGCGGTTGTGTGGTTGTGCAGCATGGGCTGGTGGCGTCGGCCCCCGTGAGTGTGGGCCCCTCTCCGCCCGAGATGCGCTTCTCGGAGTTTGCTTCACTGCAGCTGGGGGAGCAGATGTACATGACCCCCCTGGACTTCCTCGACTCGGTGACCTCCGACACAGCCAGTGAGCCGCCACCACCACAAACACCACAAGCACCACAAGCACCACAGCCACAACCACCACAACCACCACAGCCACAACCACCACAGCCACAACCACCACAGCCACAACCACAGCCACAACCACCACCACTACAAACACCACAAGCACCACAGCCAAAACCACCACAGCCAAAACCACCACCACAACCAAAATCACCGCCACAACCAAAATCACCGCCACAGCCAAAACCATCACAGCCATCACAACCACTACAACCACAACCTCCACCACAGCCAAAACCACCACAACCATAACAATCGCAACCACCATAACTACCACCACAGCCAAAACCACCTCCACATCCACAACCACCACAACCACCATAGCCACAACCACTGCCACAACTACAACTGAGCACCATCAGTATCTTTAGATGAAGTCACATTTAAATGTTTCATAAATACAAATGTAGTTATACTTTGTACTCTTTTTCTGCTGTATTTTAAAGTTAAAGTTAGGGGTGCCTTTTACAACCCAGCAGGTGTGTGCGTGCGTGCTTTCGTGTAACTTTTTATCAACACCGGGCACACGTTTAGGGTCCATCTTATTCTGTGGAGCGTCCGTAGAACACGGTAATACTCCCAATAACCACCACAAACACCACAAGGCTGGTAGTGCTGGGCCAGCGGTGGGTGGTTGTGAATAGTGGATGGTGATGTCGTTTATAGCGTGTGATAGCGACGTGGGATGGGCAGTAGTTCAAGGCAGATAGATAGTAGTGTGGGATGGGCAATAGGTCGGAGTGAGGGGTTGGTGATGATTGATAGCTCATGGCAGGTGGTAGTTTGGGGTGTTCCGAGTGTGGTAGTGTGGGGTGGGTGGTAGTTCAGGGTGGGTGACAGGCAAGGGGTGTGGGATGAGTGGTGATTGGGGTGGGAGGGGACGAGTGGTAGTGCTGGGCAGGTGGTAGTGTGAGATGGGTGCATGTGTGGGATGGGCGACGTATGTATGGCAGTGTTGGGTGGGCGGATGGGAGTGTTGGGTGGACGGTCGATGAGGGTGGCTGATGAGTGGTAGTGCGGGGAGGATAGTAGTGCGGGGAGGGTGGTAGTGCGGGGAGGGTGGCGGTGCGGGAGGGTGGTAGTGCGGGGAGGGTGGTAGTGCGGGGAGGGTGGTAGTGCGGGCAGGTTGGTAGTGCGGGGAGGGTGGTAGTGCGGGGAGGGTGGTAGTGCGGGGATGTTGGTAGTGCCGGGAGGGTGGTAGTGCGGGGAGGGTGGCGGTGCGGGGAGGGTGGTAGTGCGGGGAGGTTGGTAGTGCAGGGAGGTTGGTAGTGCGGAGATGTTGGTAGTGCGGGGAGGGTGGCAGTGCGGGGGAGGGTGGTAGTGCGGGGAGGGCGGTAGTGCGGGCAGGGCGGTAGTGCGGGGAGGGTGGCAGTGCGGGGATGTTGTTAGTGCGGGGTGGGCGGTAGTGCGGGGAGGGCGGTAGTGCGGGAGGGTGGTAGTGCGGGGAGGGTGGTAGTGCGGGGAGGGCGGTAGTGCGGGGATGTTGGTAGTGCGGGGATGTTGGTAGTGCGGGGATGTTGGCAGTGCGGGGATGTTGGCAGTGTGGGGAGGGTGGCAGTGCGGGGAGGGTGGTAGTGCGGGGAGGGTGGTAGTGCGGGGAGGGTGATAGTGCGGGGATGTTGGCAGTGTGGGGAGGGTGGCAGTGTGGGGAGGGTGGCAGTGCGGGGAGGGTGGTAGTGCGAGGAGGGCGGTAGTGCGGGATGTTGGTAGTGCGGGGATGTTGGCAGTGTGGGGAGGGTGGCAGTGCGGGGAGGGTGGTAGTACAGGGAGGGTGATAGTGCGGGGAGGGTGGTAGTGCGGGGAGGGTGCTGGGCCCCGTGCCGCTCGTTAGCGCCTCAAGGCTGCGTGGTAACGGGCCGCGGATGCCACATTGCAGTCCTGGGCGGTACGTTACCAGGGAGACACGACGACAAACAGCCTGGGTAAAGGTCGCTCCCCCGCCCAGCACCTGACCATCTCCTCTCTACTCTCTCATCTCTCCATGCGCTCTCTCGTCTCACCCTCCATGCTCTCTCCCCCACCCTCGTGCATCTCTCTCCATTCTCTCACGCTCACACTCGGTGTCCTCCATCCTCCATCCTTGTCGCCCTCTCATTGTAATTTTTCTTCCCTCCTCTCCCACTTTTCTTCGCTGCTCTATCTGTCTCCTCTCCCTGACTCTTTGTCTCCTCCCTTTCTTTTCCTTAACTTTTTCTCTATCCTCCCGTCTTAAATTCACTCACTCTTCCTCTCTCCCTTCCTCTCCCTCGGCCGCCTTCCTCTACGGCCTCTCTCTATGTCCTCCTTTTGTAACTCTCTTCATTTCTTCTGTCCCTCCACCCTGCCTCTCCTTTTTTAACCATCTCCCGAGATCCTCCCATCAACTCGCCACTCACTGCCTGCCTCTCTTCTGTCAACTCTGTTTTTTTTATCTCGCTCTACTCCCCTCCGCACACACTCCACTCCGGCAAACCAAAGCTTCCTGTCGAAGCCCTCCGTTAACTTTCACACCTCGGATTAATACGGTTGGCTACGTACGGTGCGAAAGAAGTTCAACAGACATTGTTTAGAACTCTGTTCCCCCTTTGCCGTCTGTCCTGCTGACTCCCGCTGTACAAGTCCAGGCTTACGGCCCTCCTTTATTCCTCTCACTATGACTGACTGCCTCTTTATCTCCATGAAATAAACATGCCCGCGGTTTCTGTGCAGCGTCTTGCGATTTGATTGTATTTAGATGCGATATGACCACAAATTGTAATTATAAATGCCATTCCTCTCACGTCTCTCCCACTCGTCCTCCCCCTTTCTCTCGTGCTCCCCCTTCTCTTTGAGTCTCTGGTCCATTCCTCCCCGGCCGAGTGAGTGCGTGATTGTTTAGTACATCGGCGTTTGCGGGTGTGTGAGCAGGTGAGGAAACGTGTGGACGGAGTGAGTGGATGAGCTCGTGAGTGTGAGTTTATGAGTGGGTGAGACAGTGAGGGGGTTAGTGAGTGTAAGTCGGTGACTAAGTTAGTGTGAGCGAGTCACTGGGTGGGTGAGTTAGTGTGTGCGTGTGTGTGTAAATTTGGCCAATGCCACCCTCCGATCCCCCCCAGCCCCCCCACCCTCGGGACCCCCATTTTATTTTTATCTCTCGTCCTTGAATAAATTTCACTCTGTGCCGTGTTTGTCCGCGGTGCAAATTAAACGCAGCGGATTCCTGAGGGTTCATGGCTGCTGGCTCGACTGTCTCTTTACTTAAACGCCTTTTAAAAGGGAAGAATCCTTGTTTTTGTCTCCCACTTCTTTTTTAATATAAAATCGTCTAAATTTAAACGCGCGTGGGTGTGAGCGTGCGTATGTGCGTGCGTGTCGTGCGTAAGCGTGTGGGTGCGAGAGCATGTTCGTTCGAGTGAGTTTGCGAGTGCGTGTGTGTGTGTGTGTCCGTGCGTCTGTCCGCGGTAGTGGGGAGCTGTAGTGTAGCAGTTAGCGCACTGCGCTACGAACCTGGTGACGCGAGTTCGATACCCACTCATGGCCAACACCAGTGAACTGGTCCTGGGCCTCCCCTAGGTCCACTCACCCTCAAATGAGTACCTGGTGTGATGTTTAACCATTGCTACTAGGGAGACAAAGGTGGCCGATTGTGGTGTTAGCCACCCACCCCTTCGTGTACTGTGCCAGCCTTCAGAGTTGCTTACCAACAACACGTGCCTCAACAGTCTTTTAAGGCTATACAGGAGATATTTGTCTTCGTGCATCATTGTACATGTGTTTGAATGTATGCGGGTGTGAGTTTTAAGGCAGTTGCCCTCCACCACCAGCGGAGCGCCAGAGGAGCGATGCTCACAACAACGAGCGGAGTGCCAGGTGGCTAAAATGGAGCAAGTTGGCACAATAGGGGGCACAGGTGGTCCATCTGCCAGTCATCTCAGTCAGCCAACCCATGGCACATGGGTCTATCCCCGTGACGTCCTGCCAGCCAGCGAGACTTTGTCACTTCATGTGGCCTCGGAGTGCACCTGGCCTGGCACTTTGCGCAGGCACCATGGTGACGTCACCGCCACTTAGTGGCGAATGGCGGTTGATGTTTGTCGTTGTTCTGCGAGTAAGTCGTGGGGTAGCTATCGAGTGTGCAGGAGGGTAGAGCTGCACTGGGGCCCCCACGGGCTAGACGGGGGAGGGAGGTGGGGGACTGAGGCACCGGACTAGAAGATAGAGGAAACATTTTTTACAAGGGGGTCCCATTGCATTCGTTGCACCAAGGCACCATGCCCATGGCACTACGCCACTGGGTGGACGTGACATTACCGATTAATGTCGTTATGTACGCGGTCCACGATAATTGTATTGGCAGTCTTTCCAAAGGCTCGTCAAGTTCAAATCCCGGTCGTGAGTCAACCCATCCTCTAATCTCTCCGTGCAGCTTCATTCGGGACCACTTTACGGGAAGCTATCAATGGTTGCTACTTGCACAAAGACCGGCTCCCACCATGGGAATGTGGGATTTCCACTGCTCGCCGTGTAGGCCACCGTTGAAGATTAGCACCACCCCATCATTAATTTCAAACGTGATGGGGAGTGGGAGGGCGGAGGGGGGTGAAAGGGGTGGGTGGGGCTGGGGCGATGGAGGAGGGGTGGGAGTTGTGGGGGACGTGGGTTGGCTGCCCTTAACCCCCCATTCTCTGGGCCCTGCTGGGATCCAGGTGAGCAGCGATCGCCGCTCCCTCCCCCTCCACCTCATCACCGTCACCTGCCACTCGCCCGTTGTTTGCGCCAGGTCCCGCCACAAGCGATAACGACCGTACCCACGTCGCAATTTGAGCAGTTCCGATTTGTTTGCTGACAATCTTTATTATTTACTGTCTATGCAGTGCTTTGCCAGGGCTGCTTGTTGCCGTCTGGCTGGTTGGTGGTGGGCGGGGGGGGTGATGGCGATAGGGGCCCAGAGAGAGAGGAGAACGGGGAGAGTGAGCGATGGGAGAGTTATGTTTGATGTCTGTGCAGTAATGTAGCTATCCAGTGTGCAGGCGGTGACACTGCTGTATGTATAATGTATTTTTAACTTCTTTTGCACCGTACGTAGCCAGCCATGCTAATCGAAGGTACGGGGAAGGACGACAAACCGGGATTCCAGGACCCATGCCAACCAAGCGATGCCACTCTGTCCCAACCTTCACCCCATTCAGGACTTCCAACTTATAGCCTTCTCTGTAGGGGATGTCTGTACCAAGATCATCCCCCTCAAGACTATAATTCGTCCCTTCCTCTTGAGGGATATCTCCACTCACATCCACCCAATTCATGACTCGAACTCATCACCTTGTCCAATGGGACATCTGCATCTTAAATCCACCCTGTCCAGGGCTCCAGCCTATCACCTACGCCTCTCTCCACCTCCACCTGCAGCCCAGAGGCAGGCCCCCGCTCCCCTGCAGGTGTAAGACCCCCGCTGTAGTCTGGGTGGCGTGATCGCCAGGAGATAGGGCACAGCACTTAGCAATCTGCTCCCCGTCCCCACAAACACACCCGGGCCGTTTGGGCATCTCCCCTTTGCTTTCTCTCTCTCTCTTCTTCTCCCATAGCCTCTTCGTCTCTCTCTCTCTCTCCACCACCTCCTCGCCATCTCTGTGTTCGACCGCTGCCGCTGTGCACTGCGGTAGATAAGGCACGTGCGCGTGCAACGTTACCGGGCAAGAAGTTACTGCCTCCTTATCAGCAGCCGCCCGCGTTACGGCTTTGGATGTCGTGGTTCATGTGCGCCTTTGTTTAAACACCGCTGCATACACAACAACAACGACGATAGCCATTAAGTGGTGGTCGTGGTGGTAGTGTCATCACCATTGCAATTTACCAGGCAAGGCCCACTTAGCTATATAACTCTTTTTCAGAAACAACCTGACCACAAATGATAGCTGAACGAAGTGGTTTATCACGTGGGACCGTATAACAGCCAAATACTCTTAATGCTTGTTTATAAATGCGGAGGGAAAAACCGGAGAAAAATCAACGCGACCACGGGGAGAACATGCAAACTCCAAATATACAGCAGACATCAGGGTCGGAATCGAACCCACAACCTCCTGTATACCAGGCGAGTTCGGGAACATCTCTCCACCGTGACGTCACAAAGAAGTGGCGTCGATTTTACGAGGTCACTTACACGTTTTTCCACTAAAAGCTCCATCACATGGCATGGGGTGACGTCACTGCTGTTAACGCGAATACATTTTATACGAGCACGTCATGTAAAATATCCGCAACTCCGAAAGAAAAATTCGGCAACGCTGAAAGAAAAATTCCAGATTACCCAGAACAATCTGAAGCGCTCAAACCCCAAATTCATCCCGATCATCTCATGTTTTCAGATCAATCCGAAACAATACATCTTTCGGATTGTCCATCACCTAAGGAGGTGTTAGCTGCCCTAATGCTGCTGTGTGGCAGGGAAGCTCCCAGAGGCAAGACCAGACGATGTTGCCCTGTGTTCGGAGGTCCTTAAGTGCCTTGTCCTGTGTCTTCGCCCTCTCCGCTTAGGCTGGACGAGCAGGAAGTTCATCACGAAAAAAGTGAGTTTCTCCATCCATCAGGTGCCCTTTTTTTTCCAGCGTGTGCGTGTGACTGATCGCCTTGGGGCCCTAGATACCTGCGTGGCAACGCGACTGCACGTGTGTACACACTCGCGCACACATACAGCACTCTTGTCGCTCCACCGTGGGATGAGGGCCCTCCCTCGTGCCGTGCAGGTCTTGGCGGCTGTTTGACCTTGCTTCACGTTGGTCAGTGCGGGTTTGGCGAAAGTGGCGAGTGTAGAAGTACAGTACAATAATGGGTTTTTGCTGTGCTCCCCATCGCGTAACTTCCGAGCCAATGACAACCTTTTTTGAGCATCGCGGTGGCCCTTCCCAACACTCTCTCGGCTCAAACCTGCTTAGCTTCTGGTTTCTGAGATCAGATGCATTCTGGGTAATTTGATCATTGGCATATCTGACTCTGTTCCTGGGCCTTCGCTAGGTTGACTTGGCCAGAAGTAAACGCCTGGTGCAGTGTGTAAATATTAGCACTGAGGAGACAAAGGCGGCCGGGCATGGTGCTTGCCACACCACCCCCCCCCCCCGAGCACCATGCCAGACTCAATAGGTGCTCGCTAACAGGACTTGCCTTTGCCGTAACAGTCCGTACAGCTATGCAGAGTATTTTTCTTTGTGTGTGTGTGTGTGTGTGTATGTTTATTCGTGTTAACATGTGCGTACGTGCATGCGTGTGTGTGTGGATGTGCAGGAGGCTGATCGACTTCTCAAAAACACCCCCAAGTTAAAGGATGGGACGCTAAACTTTTTCACCTCCCAGGGCCACCGTGGTGACCACCGCAGCTACTTCAATTGCACAACCGCAGCAACTCGCAGCCACGCGAACCAACACACCCACAGCACGCACCACACAGCCACAGCGCCTACCGCACGACCGCTCACATCACTACTCGTGGTTAACGAGGGCCGTACTGTACGGTGCAGCGCGCGCCACCCACTACCCCACCGTCCCCGCCGCGTTTGGGAGAATTCTCGTAAATGTTTAGATTAAAAATCTCTTCTGCAACCGATTCTGCCGTAGGGGGTGCACTGCCCCTACGAGATTTCTGATTGGATTCTTCATCTCACGGTAGTACGCCGCGGATGACACGGTTAGGATTAACTGCGGAAATATAACCTGAAATATTCATTATGGATGGACGGCTTACAGGAATAAAAGCTTGGCTCCGATATGCCTAACCACGACCACAACGTCCTCATTCTCACACTCGCGCGCAATCACGCAAAGACACATGCACGCGTGCACCTGCACGCACACCCTAACACCCTGTCATGCGTTAGGGTCTAAACTGTGCCGTTCTGTCCCTACCCCCTCACAGGAATGCTGTCGTACACGGACTACCTCTTCCTGGTGTGCATCCTCACCAGTGAGTCCCCCGCAGAGTCAAATCGCGGTGACCACCAACAGCACCACCACAACGATGACTTAACGGCACAACAACCACCGACATCACGGCAACCACCATGAAAAATATGACAGGCACTAACATCACAGCAGCCACGTGAGCGAGTGATCGGCGGATTGTCAACAGGCAATAGTGAGAGTGCTTGTTGGAGTCTTCTTACGCTCACGCGGGGAGCGGTAGTAAGACGGTTAGCATGCTGCGCTACAAACCCGGCGCCCCAAGTTCGATTCCCGCTCATGGGCCACCAACACCAGAGACGATTATCTAAACCGGTCATGGGCATCCCCTAGGTCGATTCAGCATCAAATGAGTAGCTGGTGCGGTGTGTAAACATTGCCACTTGGTGGCCGGGCGTGGTGCTGGCCACCCACCCCCTCGTATGCCATGCCGACCTTCATTGGTGCTTGCTATAACTGCACTTGCCCCAACAGTCTGGTTTGTCAATATTAGGGATATTTATCTTTGTGAGTCTTCTTAGTCAACCCATGGCACCTGGGTCTGTCCCTTGACCTCCTGCCAGCAAGCCTTCGACACTTCACGTGGCATCAATGTGGACATAGCCTGGCACACAATCGCCGTGGTGGCGTCACCACCACTTAGTGATGAACGGCGGTTGTTGTGAGTGGTTTCGAATCAAGGTGCATTTAGAGTATTTGGCTGCTATACATTTCCACGTGATAAGCCACTTCATTGAGCTATCATTTGTGGCTAGGTCGCTTCTTAAAAAGAGCTACATAGTGCAGTGGGCCTTACCTGGTAAAATAAAAATAGTTCTCGTTAGTTTGGTTGGTGAATTGTGTGATCAGTTGATTGTGCACAAGAGTCATGAGCATGCAAGCAACTGAATGAGGGCATGGGGGGGGGGGGCTTTGCGTGTCTCTGCCACAGAGCCCCGTGCCGGCTTCCAGGTCTTCTTCAAGATGTTTGACACTGATGGAAATGAGCGCGTGGACAAGAAGGAGTTCATGAAGGTGCCCGCAGCAAGGGGCCCACGCCATCGCAGCCCAACCGCACTCCCCTCACCCTGAGCAGCGGCGTTGCCTACAAACCAGAGACTGCCGAGGCAGCTTCGCTGGCTCAGTCGGGGAGGCGGGGGCAGGACACTAGAGCCGGCGAAGCTTGTAGCCAGATTCAGAATATTTATTGTACTGGAGGAATCTGATGAGCTATAAAGCTCTTTTTCACATATGTCCGGTGGGGTCACGGGGTCAGAACGTTCCAACAACAAATAATGCAAAAACACGATAGCAGTGCAAGGTACAGGAGAGGCAACGCAAATCACCCAAAAACATAAAAATTCAACTAAACCATCCCCATCCTACCAGGCAAAGCCCACAGATGTATTCACTTATTTTTTCAGAAGCCACCTGGCCACAAGTGATAGCCCAACAAAGTGGCTTATCATGTGGACATTTATAGCAGCAAAATTACATAAATAATTAGGGGGACAATGTTCTAGATTTAAAGCTTTCGTGACTGCAAGGATCCATACTCTTTGGTTCTATTCGGTAAAGTCACGTAGGTAAAGAATAAAACAAAAAATCACGACATTTCGGCCACAACATAAGCGGCCTTCATCAGGTGAAGGGATCAGGCTGTCTCGAGGACAGCGCTGGAGTGGAACACAGCCACGCTCAGACCGCGACCTTTAAGCTGTGTGCGAGTGAACAAGGTGCCTTGACAAAGGAATTAGCATAAAAAATTAGCATTTGATTGCCCGACCTAGCATAGAAGTGGTGTACATGCAGGTGCACATGCCGGTTGGCGCGGGGAGGGGGGGAGTTGCTATTTGATTCCTGGTTGCGATTGGATAATTTGCGGGCAATTAACATTTATTTTGGGCAAATCTGGACCATGACCCTGGCACGTGCGGGCTATACTTTTAGCAGTCGTCGGTGTCCACTTTGAAGCATACGGCACGTGTCTATGGTCAATACCTACAAAATTGTATTTCTTTTTAGTTCAGTTTGTTGTCCTCGAATTATAAATGCTGTGGGTTTACAGTGTGCTGAACTAGCAATGTGTTGTTCACGTGACAAACCTTACTTATCGGCAGTGGTGGCGGGTTCAACGACACGTATACACGATCTAACCCCAACAAAACCTCTAATATGGATAATATTAGTCGCGAAAGCGTACGTGTTAAACTGACCCGAGTTCGATTCCTGCCCACGACCAATAACCACAGCGAATATCTAAACCGGTCCTGGGTTTCCCTTCGGTCGTCTCGGCCTTAAATTTGCATCCGGTGCGATGTGTGGGATAAAGACGGCCATGCGTGGGTACTGGCCGCCCACCACCGCCTTGTGCACCGCGTGCGCCTTCATAGGTGCTCGCCAACAGCACTTGCCACCAATAGTCTGTTAAAGGCTATGCGGGGTGGGGGGGGGGCATTTGTCTTTGTGTATCTGTATGTGCGACGCAGCTGCTGAAAATTTTTCGGAAAAAGAAGGAAAAATCTACGAACTCACTCGAAGTGGCCACGGAGGTGACGCACACGCATCTATACACGCACGCACGCACGCAGCTCTGGGTGGTGATGTGAGCTGCGATGTCGTGCTGCTCGTGTTTATACTGAAGTCGATGCTGTTGATGATGGTGATGGTATTGTAGATGTTGATCGTGGTGATGGGTGGAGCGGTGGCGTAGTGATTATCTCATTTCAGTTGCCGGTCCTGGTTGACATCAGTGATGGATATCCAAAGTGATCCTGGTCGCCCCCCAGGTCGATCAGCTTCAAATGAGTACCTGGTGCGGTGTGTAAACACCAGCACTGGTTAAACATACGCGGCCGGGCGTGGTTTTTCCGGCCACACCAACCCCTGCTGTGCTGTCCCCGGCCTTAGTTAATGCTTGCTAACAGCACTTGCCCCAAAAGTCTGTGCTTTTACATTAGCACCCATTACACCGGGGTGTCTTGGAGAATTCTACACACGATAGGAAACTTGCATCTCCTCTCAAATAATTGAAAGGGCGGCACGCCCAGTGACAGCTTTCCCCATGGCCGCAAGATAACTCGGCACTTGGCCTGCAATTTTTGTCATTAGTCGAGCAGTAGAGGGCCATGATTGCTGCGTGTAATCCCAATTGATTTATGATGATTGTTGGTGTAATGGTGCATCGATGCTTCGGTTGATATTGACGCTTGAACTCGCAGTGCATGTGTCGAGTCGAATCGTGTGTGTGGTGTGTGTGTGTAAGAATTGATGTTTTAGATTCGCTCTTGTTGTACCGAATGGGTTCATGTGAGCTCTGCAGTCACTTAAGGCCGATGCATTCACTATATTGTAATTGAATCTCAACCCTTAAAGTCATCAAATTCGTTTGGTGTGGGATAGCAGTGGGGGGGGGGGGGGGGGTCGGGGTGACGGTCTGAATCCTTCCACTTTTAATAATGATGATAGTGGTAACGATATGGTTAATTTGATTTAGTTGTCCACTTTACGTGCGTTGATTGTGATGTTCGAGCGATCGAGCGAATGTCGGCGATGTCGCTGACGGTGGTGTTGGCCGTGTAGGTCGTGGGGGGTGCCCCCCCTTTGGAGACCACGCTCGTCCTTCACCTCTTCAAGGATCAGTCCCTGAGCTACCAAGAATTTGAGAAGTGAGTCGCCTCCTCACGTGGGCCACGTTTGATTTGTGAATCGGTGCTTGGTTTTAACGAGAGCGGAGCTGCAGGAGGACCGAGTAACAATTCACGTTTTCTACGAATCAATGAATTGCCACGATTCGTAGTTCACGATTCGATTCCTGAAATCAAAATCGAAAACAAACATTTTCAATCGACATTGGTTGAGACGGAACGGGGCGGTCGCGCATTTGTCGATTGTTGCAGATGTTCACGGTTCACATCCCAGCGGCCGTCCCGGTTCATGCTTGTTGGTGGAACAACCGTAAATGACGCGCGCCGTCCGCTTCACAGTCGACGTTAAACGTCACATGACGCGAGTCGATAAAAGATTGGGCCACGGGTGCCAGCGTCGCGGTTCAGATTTTGCCAGATTTTTTTAAAGTTCCGAACGGTGTTGCCCACGCGCAGGTTCATGGTGGAGCTGCAGGGCGAAGTGCTGCTGCGCGAGTTTGAGGAGCTGGCGCGCGGAACGGGCCGCGTGACGCAGCGCGAGTTCGCCAGCGCCGTGCTGCGCTACACGGGCGCGGCACACCGCGGGCACCGCAACCTCGACTCCGACGAGGTGTGCACTGCACCTTCTCCGCCTCCTCCGCCCGCTGCCCGACTCAAATGCGGCAGAAAACGCCAAACCACACGCCTGCACACACCACACCTCTGCGCGGACCACACCTCTTCGCGCATCGCACCTTGTGTACCACACCTCTTCGTGCACTACACCTCTTCATGCACCACACCTCTTCCCACACCTGCAGACGCCACACCTCTTAACACACCACACACCTCTTCATGCATCATCCCTCTTTACACCCCACACACTACACCACATTTATTCGACCGTTTGCTCTCTGATCCACGTGTTCCTCTTCCTGCCTCGCAGTATAATTCCAGGCTAGCTCCTCTCCACGCTTCTTCTCTGCGTACCCTCGGCATGTTTTTGTTTTATCGTCTTTGCTAGTGTCCGTGTTTTTTTTTATTAACCTCTTATAGCAGGTGATGCAGACGGCTTGAACGCAACAGTGACAAGCAACGATATGTGCAATATTACTGCGTTTGTATTATTTGTTTCCTAAATGCTTCCAGAAGGATGGCTCTCGTGGTAAGTGTGGAAGGATGACTCTGGTGGTAATTGCAAGTTTGCGATTCCTAGCCTGGGCACAACATCGGTGGCCAATGATGGTTGCACCCCTTCATAGGACTCTCCCCTAGGTCGACTTGGCATGAAATGAGTGCGTTTAACATCAGCACTGGGGAAACAAACGTGACCGGGTGTGACCTGACTACACCACCCCATCATGTGCACTGCCACCCTTAATAGGTGCTCGTTACCATCAATTGCCTGTTGGGCCTACGAGGCTAAATGAGGTTATTTGGCTCTAGGTGTGTGTCTGTATATGGGTGTTGTGTGTGGCCTCAAGGTGCACATGGCCTGGCACAAGCGTCGTGGTGACGTCACCGCCACTTAGTGGCGAATTGCGGTTGTTGTTTTTGTGTGTGCTGTGTGCGTGTCGACTTGGCCTCAAAAGAGTACCTGGTGCAGTGTTTGAACATCACCAGTTGGGAGTCAAAGGCGGCCAGGCACGGTGCTGGCCACCCACCCCCTAGTGCCGGCCTTCATAGGTGCTCGCTAACAGCACTTGCCCCAACAGTCTGTTAAGGCTTTACGGGGGGGGGGTCTTTGTTTTGTTGTGTGTGGTGTTTTATGCATATCATGTTCCGTCTGCATGTGCTATGTCTGCGTGGCATGCTGTCCGTGTAGTGTGCCATGAGTGGTTTGCTGTGCGTGGCGTACTGTCCGTGTGGTGTGTCATGCGTGTGAAGTGCCGTGAGTGGTATGACGCCCGTGGTGCGACGCTCGTGGTGCCACACGTGCTGAAGAGGCTGTGCGTTTGCTGCCGTGCTGCCCACAGGGCATCACGTTTGAAGAGTACCGGGCGTTCTTCCAGTTCCTCAACAACCTCGAGGACTTCACCATCGCCGTGCAGATGTACACGCGAGCAGGCCTGCCCATCGGACCGGGTACCCGGGGACATGTGGGGGGACACACGCACAGGGATGCACGGGGGGGGGGGGCACACGCTGTGACACATGGGAGGACACACACGGGGACAAATACAGGGACACACGGGGGAACATACACGGGGATGTGGGGACACACATGGGGACACACATGGGGACACATGGGGGAATATATACAGGGACACACGGAAGAACACGCGGGGACATACCGGGACACACCGGGACACATTGGGACACACACAGAGTGGAGACACTGTGGGGACACGCAACAAGGATACAGTTAGGGGACACACATTTTGTAATATGTGTTGTGTGCTGTTTATGATGATGTGCACTGTTTTTTCAGTGTGTGTAATGCCGTGTGTTGCGTGCGATGCTGTTGTGATGTGCGTCATGCAATGCTGTGTGATGTGTCTTGCGTACTGTTATCGTGTGATGTGTGATTTTGGTGACGTGTGTAATGTTGTGGTGGCGATGCCGTGTGCACTAATGTCGGAATGCTGCGTACTAATGTCGCGATGCTGTCGCTCTGCCTGACGCTGTGCCGCCAGAGGAATTCCGCCGCGCGGTGCAGGTGGTGACGGGCAGCCCGCTGTCGGCGCGCGTGACGCGCGTCGTCTTCTCCCTGTTCGATGCCAACAACGACGGGCGGCTCAGCCAGGCCGAGTTCATCGGCGTCATGCGGGAGCGGCTGCACCGCGGGTTCAAGGTGCGACCACGCGCACGCAACCACGCAACCACGCGCACAGAATCACGCGCAATCTTGTGTTTAGTTTGTTGCCCTTCCCCCCGCACCTCCGATTAGCGCGATCGGCTATGTTGGGTGCGAAAGAAGTTCAACGTTCCTGCGAACATACATCGTGCGCAACCACTTGCAACCACTCGCACGTACAATCGCACGCAGCCGCTGCAACCACGTGCAATCACCCGCAACCGCGCAATCACGATCGACCGCGCACAACCATGAGGAACCACGTACCATTACTTAGAACCACGTGTAACCGCGCGCACGTACAACCGCGATCAACCACGCAAGCAACCACGTGCACTCAAGCGCAACCAGGCACATACTGCGACACCATGACGTAGTTACACCACACCAAATTAACACGACACTGATCCCAACGCCAAACTTAAACACCGTGCCACCAGATTTAAAAAAAATATATCACATGCCAAAACAACACACGACCACATTAAATATAAACAATACTACGCCACCTGGCAACATGATACACCTCCAATACGTTCCACCGTTACACCCAAACGTTCTGATGGCAAATGTGCAGTGGAGACGTGATGTCCATGCAATGTGTCTGATGTGATGTGGTGTGGTCTGTGATGTTGCCTGCGATGTTGTAATGTTGTAGTTACGTCTGAGGCTCCTGTTCTGTTGTTGTAATATTGCTTGTCGCGTTTCCTGTGATCTCGCGACGTTACCTATGATGTCGTGATGTCACCTGGGATGTTTTGACAATGTCCTGTCGAGTTGACGCTTCATGTGATCAACCAGCGTGAGAACGCAAGGGACCAGTGTTGGTCTCATTTGCAAGAGTGAATTGGGTCGCCGAAATGGCAAAAAAGCTAAACTAATTTTAGGGTACAACGATGAAGCAAACAGAAATCGGAGCCAAAAAGAACTGTGTCATTTGAGAAATAGAAAATGTTCAAAAAATATAAATCCGTGTTCAATAATACATTTCCTGCAGCGTAATGTTGGCTCGGGGACATTATTATCAGACCCATTGTAGCACAATTACATATTAAGTTACAGATATACACAACAGATATTGGTGTGGCTTTTGTCCAAATATGTAAACAGACGAGGATAAATTTTGACTTAAAACTTTCGCGACTGCAGGAATTCATATCCCTGGTTCTTTCGGTAAAGTCACGTAGATAGAAAATAAAAATTGAATAATTTTTTTTGAAAGAAATGAAAACTTTAAATAAAACCAAAAAACCACGACGTTTCTATGGCAACACAAACGGTCTTCAGCAGGCGGAGAGAAAAGATGATGAAGACCGCTTGTGCTGCGATCGAAACGTCCTAGTTTTTTTTGGCTTTTATTTTTTATTGTAATGAATTTTATTTTTTTATTTTTATTTTCTATCGCCGTGACTTTACCGAAAGAACCAAGAAGACGAGGATATATGATGTCAAAATGCAATGTGTAGGCGTAGTCATTGTTAAGAATCCGACAGCGTAGCATCAAACTGTGGTTTGTCCGTGATTCCAGAGCGTGCCGTCTGTGGGTCGGCCTGGGTACGTGGACTGTGTGAAGAGGGATATGGTCCGGGGCCTCCAGGAGTTCCGCAGGATGTACCAGAAGGCCTGATGGCATCGCAGCATCGCAGCTGTCTCATCACCACGTCGCATCACCCTACGTTCTACACACGTCACCGTGTATCACCCTACGTTCTACACACGTCACCATGTATCACCCTACGTTCTACACACGTCACCGTGTATCACCCTACGTTCTACACACGTCACCGTGTATCACCCTACGTTCTACACACGTCACCATGTCGCGTCGCGTTACCCCACGTTCTACACGCACCACGTGACGTGCGCCACGCAACTCGCGGCTCATCCCACCGCGTGCCGCATCGCGTCAGCGTTTCATGATCTCGCGATGCCGTAGCGCTACGTCGTCGCCCCACGCGGTGTACCTACACGCGCGGCTGCAAGCAGCCCACGTCTCGCTCACAGACGCTCTACGGCACGCCACGTCGCATCACATTTCATGGCACGTCTCCGCTCGCACCGTGCTGGGATTGAACCCAGGGTCAGCGTTTAACGTATGTGCATCTGTGTGGGGTGAACTAAATTGTTGGCAGTGGAGGTGGTGGTCTTTTGGCTCTGTGCGTCTAGATCTCTCAGCGTCTCTGTTTCCGCGCACGTGTGTGTGTGTGTACCTTTGTATTTTTCACTCTCCGTGCCAACGTATTTCTGTTACTCTCGTGTTTCTCTGTGTCTCTTCCACCGTCTTGAGAAATGTCGCACCTCAAAGGGTTTTCGGCGCCGCTCACAGTCGACGGGTAGCCGCCCCAGTCGCCCAGCCGGGCCCAATTGGCCTAACAGCCACGTGGAAGGGCTTCAAGTTTATTCGTTTCCAATTCGATTAACCAGCTGAGAACTCGAGAGACCAGAATAGTCTCGTTTGCAAGAGAGACCTGGGCAGTCTATGCTCTGCCATCAAGACTGCAAAGTGATGTTGATGATAAGTGTGATGATTGTTACCTACGGTGAAGACAATCTCATGGGGTGGTGGCTGGACTAACGATGTTATAATAAAAATATTGATCATTGGGGGGGGGGGGGGGGGGCGTTTGATGCCTTTTGAGGTGTCACTTATGCACTTGCACTGTTGATGGTGTTGGTGGTTTTGGTGGTGGTTTTGATATGTTAATGAGAGTGAGCTTTTTACATTTCACACAAATGACGTAACAAGGCTACGCTGCTGTCGAACTAATCAAGATTATGACGCTGCTTTGGCAGTGTCGCATAAGTCCAAATAGACAAGCGAAAACTGTACACATTCGTAAATAACATTTCCCTGAAAGGAAATAATATGTAGCTATAATAGGCAACATTTTGGATAATGGGTACTGTTGTGAAGAAGGGCCATTGTCAGAAATGTGTTACACACATTCAACTTAGTGCATTGTTATTAACGAATGTGTCGAGTGTTATCTCGACCGGTGGCTGTGTCGGGCTGCGCTGTGTTGTTATACACAGCAATATGTAACATTTTGCGGAGTTTGCAGGATATTGTGGAGGAGGTAGCTGGTTCCCGTGATACTGTGTGGCTGAAACATGTACAGGACAACTGGCGTGCATTGATTGACAGTGATTGAACCTGCACCCATTAAATTAGCACTGCTTGTCCACCTGATTTTGGATTATCGGTATTCGCATAAATGTCCTGGAATGCAGAACATGCTCCATTCAACACGCCATATTTAGCTGCTGCGGATGCTGCATTATGGGAAATGCTATCTTTTTCTAGTTTCTGTCTATACGTATATACTGGTTTCACCTTGACCTGCGATCCTCAGTACAATATATAACTCAGCTGGTGTACCTGCCGGGTTATCTCAGATTTACTTTTATAATATGGTGCAATGTAGTTGTGCTACAATGTATGGTAAACGCATAGCAGTTTCAACCTTATTGTGTGTGGATCGTCGGTACAGCACATTGCCACCGATTTACCGGCACGATTATCAAAGGTTGATGTGTGGTTTTATGAAAGCAGTGATGCCTCTATTCAAACTCCACCAGTCCAGGGTTGGACTTGACCACCGGGTCACAGGGAATGTACCAAGAAAATGGTCCAGGAGTTCAGTCGTCACACTCGCTACGAATTTGCAGCCCTTTGTCAATCCACTGCTGGATGAAGGCCCTTCCCCGTGCCGTCTCGTCCGTGGGTGACATTTGCCCACACGTCACGTTGGTCATTGTGGGGGTGTTGAAGGGTGGGAGGAGGTTGGAGTGCCCAGAACCGGTTTAAGTGTCACTCGCCACTGGTGGTAGCCGGGACCGGAATCAACCTGATGTGCGTGGATACATGGCGCAGTGTGAAAACCATTACACCGCCGCCCCCGTTGCCACGCTTATCTACAACTTCAATCATTCGCCGCACAATTGGTGTCTAGATTTAAGGTGTTGGGTTCGAGAGTGGTGGTCCAAATCCAGGGCATGCCAATTCGGACAAATGCCTGAGCTTCCCAGTGTGCCCCCATTCCAACCAGGGATGGTACCCAACCCGAGACCGACCCTCACCCCAAAGCCTAACCGTGTACAGGACACGTTCACCAGTCCCATCGGACGCATCCGGCGTGCGCTTTCGGACTCCGTATATGGGCAGTGCTTACCGACGCACCTTGGGGCTTCTTGTGTGTAAATGTCGTTATTGGGATGTATAATAAACGATGTTGGGTTGAGAGAGCCTGTGCCGTGTGTTGGGTCCTCGGGTGACGATATTTCGAAAGGTCAAGTTCCAGTAAATTAGCGAAGCAAGGGCGGGGCGGGGCGATCCCGTCCGCCCCGCCCCGCCCCGCCCTTTCCAAAGGGGCTCAAGGCGGGCCTGGCAATGCTGTGGGTGTCACACGTGGGGTGGGAGGGGGGTTATTTGACCATACTTCGTCACGCTGGTCGGTGCGGGTTAATGCAGGGAGCATTGATTCAGGAGCACAATGCTACACAAATGTAATAGATATTGCTACACTGCCATCTGCTGCCCGCCACGTGCAGCTGACCCAGTCCTGCTGTATTGAGCAGAATGAAGTGAATGTTTTTAATGCTGGCCACAGAAAGGTGGAATTTCCGCCGCTGTTTTCTACGGCGGCCAAAGGAAGTGAACACTGCAAGACGAATTCCTCCTTCGGCACGGGAATTGGTGGCTCGTAGCGCCGCCATGTGCCAACTTCATGACAATACATTCATTCCGCTCGCGGCGGAGAATACTTGCCCCTTGAATGCCAGCGTCCACGTCCCTTTGGTGTGTCAGGTGAGTGGTCGTGTCTGATGAGTGTGTCAGGTGAGTGGCGAGTGTTCAATGCATTAGGAAGCGAATAGGGAATCGAGAAGGTGAGGCGTTAAGAGAGGGATGGAGGGAGGTTGAGGAGGGGCTGCTTGATTTACAGGGGAAATTAATTCCAGTGGAGGAGCGCAAGGATGGAGAGTGACTGAACACGAGATTGGGCACAGGGAGTAGGAGAGACAGCGGGAGGGAGAGAAGATTGGGAACGAAGAGGAGGGGACATAGAATGAGATGAGAGAGGCGCGATGAGGTGGGGCAAGGCCATGAAGAAATGTAAAGAGGACAGCCCCAGGTATTTGAAAAGACAGGTGTGCAGTAAGCGGGCAGCCAGTGCAGTTGAAGGAGGAGAGGCGAAATTGCAGATTTAAAGGGGAGATAGAAAAAACCTGCCGTAAGTTAAAATGTCATTTGTTTTTATAGCATAGTATGTACATTTTACGTGGGGGAATCCGAGCGAGATCGCAAACCCAAAGCCATGGCAACGGTTGCACGCCATCGAATCGTGGAATTTCCTTCACTTGACTCGGCAACGCCTTCATGAGATGTTTAGGAAACGTGGAACATTGGGCCAGCGTCGGCTCCAACGGTTCTACCCAACCTTGCATATTTACTCGCTTAACATCTCGTTAAACATGCCCACGTTGGGCAAACGTTGGTTTTCGGTGGCAAGACGTGAACTACTTCGCCTGGTATACAGGAGGTCGTGGGCTCGATCCACTTCGTTGAGCTATCATTCGTGGCCATCCCGCTTCTGAAAAAGCCACATCGCTCAGTGGGCCTTACCTGGTAACACATTCCTGCGGAGGGAGCTGGTAGGAACGTTGAGTTGCTCGGTCAATGGCCAGGGTCAACGGCGGCGTGGTGTATTCCGCAAATATGCCCGACTGTGAGGGCGGGCACAAGCCGGCGTGAGTAGGTTAAACGTTGAGTTTTATAAGGGCACCACGGGGTGACCAGCCCCTTCCCACCCAGCCCCGCCCCACCCAGCCCCACCCCTCCCACCCCCCACCCTCCCCTCCCCACCCTCCCCACCCAGCCCCTCCCCACCCAGCCCCTCCCCACCCAGCCCCTCCCTCCCCACCCAGCCCCTCCCCACCCAGCCCCACCCCTCCCATTTTTGGATGCACGACGGACGGACGGACACAATAATCCCCTGTGGGCTGGTGTAACCAGGAGGTTCCTACCAGTAAAAAGTTTAGTTTTTAGAGACTGGGCAGAGAAGGTGGGGTGGGTGGGGGGGGGGTAAGTGGGGTGGGTGGGGGGGTAAGTGGGGTGGGTGGGGGGGTAAGTGGGGTGGGTGGGGGGGTAAGTGGGGTGGGTGGGGGGGTAAGTGGGGTGGGTGGGGGGGTAAGTGGGGTGGGTGGGGGGGTAAGTGGGGTGGGTGGGGGGGTAAGTGGGGTGGGGGGGTAAGTGGGGTGGGTGGGGGTGGTGGGGGTGGTGGGGTGGGTCTCCACCCCTCGTGCACCTGGGGGTTTATAGCTAATTAATGACGTCACCAATTAAAAGGCGGCACGTGACCCGATCCCCGACAATTCGAAGATGGCGATGAGCCCCAGAGGAGTGAGTGGTCGGCTTGGAACCGAAGTCGTTGCGTTGCGTGTACAATATTAATCATATTCAGTGGTAACTTTACGTTTAAACGTTATACGTCTATTATTAATCATACGCATTTGTCGAGTTGGCCGCTCGTGGCTGTATAAGGCTCTGTCAGAGTAGTTGTTGGTGATGTGCTGTTTGTGGAATGTTGCCATTGTGGTAACCGCTTTTAATAGTCGGTAACTCTTTCGGTAAGTATAAACTTGAATACGATGGTCGTTTGTTCCGGATAATAAGACGCACCTTTTCCCTGCTTTGTAATTTAAAGCAAACGGGGGGGGGGGGGGGGGCTGCGTCTTACATTCCGGTGTATGTGCGTGAGCAGATCTTGTTGAACTTTATTGACACGGAGCGTTTTTATAATCCGGACGATGGAAGCGATATATGTTAACGACCCTAACCCACAGAGAGGTGATTTACAAACGAGATTCCGATTTGCAGGCCTACTAATTCGTTAGAATCGGTTCCCCTTCGACTTGGTAAAGGTAGATGATCTTGATTGCGCAGAGATTTCCCGTGATCGAATGATTTCGGCATGAGCGTGGGATTTCGAAAGCCAAGCAAGGGGGGGGGATAATAAAAAAAACCCACAGCCACTGGATTAAGACTTCACGTAACTACCCCAGACTGGAACAACAACAACAACAAAAGATCGAGGCACGACACTCCGCTGATGCTTTCCCGGGTACAACAATCGAAATTAAATATACAGTATCTCTATAACTAGAGCGCTTGGATGCTGTAGGCAGGGCCGGATTAAGGTTCTTGTATGCCCTTAGGCACTTAAGTTTCCTAGTTCTTTAGTGATAAGTTTATAACAGTTGTCGCTGCTGCTGCTGTCAATGTTACCGATTACTCTCACCGTTGATCACTCGATGAAGCTGATTTTTAAAAAAAATCAACCATAGGACAACAACAACAACGCTTGTCTTCCCTTGCGTTGGCGCTTCTGTGTTGATAATGAGATGGTGCGAAAAACGCCATTGTAAGATGTTACTGCTAATTTTGCAACGAAAACGTCTCGGAAAGTAAATCTCCGGTGTGAATTTCTCTCACCTTGTGCAAAAAAAAAAACGATTGACACGACTGCCTCTTTGAATATATACTCTGCCGATCCTTTATATATAAATATATTTATTTATTCAAGAAGATATCTTGCTAAAAAAATGTATCATACAAACAACAAAAAACATGGGTCACATTTTTTGTTGTTCGTGGGCCCTTCAGTTTTCGTTGGCCCGAGACACGGTGCCCAACCGTGCCTATTGGATGATACGGCCCTGGCTCGAGGCAGCTCTGGGGCTACGTGGTGGGCAGCCAACGCATCCAATTGGTGTGTTAGCTGTACTGCCCTCCCAGGTCTATGATCCCTGCCTTCACCAACCGGTACGGACCAACGTGGTTAGAATACAGGATTGACCTCCCCCCAGGCTTCCGTACCCCTCACAACTCGCACGGCCTGTGGAGACCCCCCTCATGCAGCAGTGGATTGACAACAGGGCTGGGCGTTGTTGCCTGCGCCTAATCCGTGCTGTTGTTCCCTACACACAGCTCGTGCCTGCCTGGCAATGGACCCCTTGGCCTCTGGCCTGGAAACTGGCCCAGTGGCCCGGAGACATGACCACGCTTCTGGAAGGAGAGGTAACACTAACCGGGGCAGCGCACGCGGTGTGTGTGTGGTAGTGTAGCGGTTAGCGCACTGTGCTACGAACCCAGCAATCCCGAGTTCGATTCCCGCTCAATGCCACCATCAGCGATGAATAACTGAACCTGTCCTGAGCTTTTTCCCCAAGGTCGATTCAGCCTTAAATGCCAACAATCCTGGGTGCCATTGTATGCTGTACGAGGATCTTTGTGTTGATGTGGGATAGAGTGCTGGTACAGCGGGCTAGCGCACGACCCTGTAGCCAGGTCCGATTCCGTGACACAGGTTACATCTGTGGCGAGTGATTTACATGAACCTGGCTTGTGTCTCATCTAGGTCGACTTCACTTTAAATGATTACCGGTGACAAAAATGCAGCTGGGCATGGTGCTGTCTGTTATCGGCTGCACGGGGTAGGGGGATCTTTGCTTTTGTGTGCTTATGTTGATGGTCGGTTGCAATAAGGTGGCCGGGTGCGGCGGTGGGTTGGCGGTTGTCATATGGTGGCAGTGACGATACTGTGTTGGTATTTGGTGGTTGTGGGTGTATTTCTGTGGATGCAGTGCTGTCACTGTGTCGCTGGTTGTGGGTGGGGTTGATGTTGCCTGTGGTGGTGTGTGTGTGTGATGGTGACATTATATAAGGGTAGACTTTGTAGACTTTGGCTGTGTTCGAGTGGAGGCTGTCCATAAGGGGTTGAGTATCGTGTAAGTTTTTGCCCATGAATTCTGTCCGTACATAGCGGCTGGCCTTCTGGCGAGGTGGCGGCCGTTTCCAGAGGACTTCCGGCGGGCGGGGGAGGGGGGGACCGCTGTATTCATAGAGGAGATGTATCCTGACGTGGCCTCGCTAAAAGGGTCGGCAAACCTGCGGCTCCAGAGCCGCGTGCGGCTCTTATAGGACTGCATTGCGGTTCTTGAAATATTGAGGGGTTTTTTTGTTACTGAATTGGAAAAAAATTACTCTTGTTATTTTGGTTGCCGACCCCTTACCATGGGAGGTCCAGTTTACCACGGGAGGTACAGTTTACCATGGGTAGGAGTCTGCAACCTGCTACTCTGGAGCAGCATTTGGCTCATTATGGACTGCTTCATGACGTTATTTATTAAAGACCACCATCTGGTATTCACGTGGTATTGCGGCTCTTCGAATATTAAGTGTTTTA